TGCCTATTGCTTCTTCGAATTTTACTAACTCATCTTTTTTTTTAGCATAATTGTGTTTTTATATCATACCTTCGTTGATTGGACCGAATTGATCGGTCTGTATTGGCATATGGGCTCCTGTGCAGATGTCTCGATATTGCCTGCCTTCTAATTATACTAATGATGGATCGTAGCTAGCAGTACAACCCAGGATGTGCATTTCGTCCTATTTGGGACTCGTCAGCTGGATGTACCTCCCTCCCAGTGAGTGTTGTTCCCATCGGGATTCGGACTGGGGAGCGATCGCTTCAAACGCCAGCGCGTTATCCGCTACACCACCGAGCCAGGATGGCCATTTCTTGTGCGACGGGTATAGTTTTAGTAAAATTGTTTAAAGCGATCACTCCCTAGTCCGAATCCCGACGGGAACAACATCAGTCACTGGGAAGCAGGTACATCCAGCTGATGAGTCCCAAATAGGACGAAATACGCATCCTGGATCCCACTGCTAGCCAGTAACCATCATTATCTTTTTTTTTGTTAGCTACTTTGATCACTTTCTAGGTGTCAACATTATCTCCTTTATTCATCAGATGTCTTTAGTAATGAAACTTTTAAGACTCTCCATGTGATATGTGATCCACACTTATATTGTGTGAGTGCTAGTGATACTACTTGGATGCCCAAACTACTTCGGTAGGTGGAGTGAGGTTCGAACCAGTCACCCAATGGTTATTAGTCAGCTCCGTAAACCACTAAGGCATACCTCCACTATCTGAGCGCCAAAGATGACCAAATCTTGGTGATGACACTCTTCATTTTTATGAGTAATCTGTGTACTCTGGTACTGCGTTCAGTTACGCAACACTTAAAGAGGTATATTAGGGAATTTAAGCAGCAACTCAGTATACTTGTGCATACTATGTTTTGAGTAACATTTAATGTGTAAAGCCTTTTAATTATTCCCGGTTGATTGTTGTAAAGCCGAGTGCTAAATTCAATGAGCTACATGTCTACAAGTTATTATGATCCGGTGTATTCTGGCTGGAAAAGTCTGTTGACCGTTGTAGACAGTCTCTAGCAAGCAGAATTTTCCATATATGTCTAGGACAGGTTCAGATTTGATAAAGAAAAATTCAGTTATCAATCTCTCCCGCCCTCCCTCCGCTCAACTAAGTTACTTTTCAACACTGTCGCTCTATCCCACCCTACTATGTAATTGCGTGCAGAGGTATAGCCGAGTTTTTCTCTAAATTTCTTATCTTATTACGATCTACTAATCTTGATTTAGCTAAGTTTTTGTGCTCCGTTATTCTAATCGACCCTGACTAGTCGACTGCTTTGACCTATGTACTTAACCTTGCAATCATTGCAAGGGATCTGGTAAACCAGATTATTTTGCTGAATTGCATCGATAGGATCTTTCAACCTAAAAAGCTTGTTTCTCTTAGCGAGTTTGTTAGTTTAACTGCTAGCCATTTTAATCCCCGTCAGCCTTATTGAGAATTCTTCGTAATGCTTCTGAGGTGCCTTCCTTGTATAGCAACATAGCAGAGGCTTTGAATTCTCTCTCAACCCTATCACCATTATTACTATTGGTAGGGGAATTATTATTATAATGCCACGTGTATTACTACTACTACTGCCATTACTTCTGATATTTTTCTGTCGATTTCTCATGAATTTATTCATAAATTTAGGTGTGTAGTTACTGAGCCGCAAGGCATTCTTGATGTGTCTAATTTCTTGTTGTAGATTTTCCGATCTACTAGTAAGCTTTTTCATCCTATCACTTAAGCATTCAACAACTAGGTCTACTTTAACTGAAATAGGGTGGGAGGATTCGAAGTTTAAGCAGCGATTCGAATGAGAAGCTTTCCTATAGACACTAGTCTCTACAATTCCATCTTGTGTTCGTGTGCTCTTGCAATCCAACACTACTAGGTCACCTTCTTCACTTTCTAAGTCACAGGTAAATTGGATTGCGTTCACTACTGGATTTATATATGCCAAGAATCTATTGATGTTTTCCCATTTCAGTGGTGTGAACGTATCATCTACATATCGAAACCATATCTTTGAAGTAGGACTCAGTGATAGGAGGGACATCCATCCTTAACTATCGATGAATATATCTGCGACGATAGGCGATATTGGGGATCATCCCATAGCAACACCTTCACTTTGTGTATATGTTTTATTTTGAGACTTAAAAACTGTAGATGTTAGACATAATCGTACTCCTGGCATAATTTCCCTTGATCGACACCTTAGTTCCATGCGTAAGCTCTTTGTCATGTTTAAGCCTATTTCTAACCGCCTCTCGAGCCATGTCGATCAGTATATTTGTATGAAGGCTAATTATGTCGAAACTAACCATTTTCTCATTGTCATCTAAGTGTATGCCGTCTAATCTATGCTGTAAGTCAGGATTTTTAACGATTTCTTATCGGGTCTAACACCATTGCTAAGTATTTAGACAAGTCGGAGTGTTTCTGATATCTACTATAACCTTGGCTTATCAATCTTGATACTACTATACATTCTACTGGGATTATTGTTAGTTTTCGGCATTGAATTAAACCACTTTAACTCACCTAGAAATGGCTTCATCCAGCATATCAGATCCCTCGTCGATTTCTTAATTTCATTATTATCGTCTTGTTTCTATATGCTCATTCACTTTGTAGATGTAGTCAGATGTATTCATTACAACTGTTGACTGTTGCCTTTATCCAACTTGACAATTACTATACTGTTATCATTTTGTCCGAAACATCATTATCCAGTAAATGATACTTTCCTTCACTGTGTTTGGATCGAATTGTTTGACGTCTATTGACATATGAGCTCCTATGTAGAGGCTTCGATGTTGCCTGAATATTAATTAAGATCATTTGTTTGGTTGTGGTTAGCAGAAGAATCCATGGTATAGTGGATAACGCCTTGGCATCTGTAAGCGATGGGTACGAGGTCCGAGTCTCAGTGAGGAAAACATTCCTGTGTACTAGGGTGCAGGCATATCCAGCTGATGAGTACCAAATAGGACGAAGCGCGCATCCTGGATTCCTCTGTTAACCGCAAATGGTAACCACAAGTTGGTTGTAGGTGGTGTAACTCACAATCACTATTTCAAGGCATCATGAAAAAGTTTTTAAATAAACCGCCTATGTGATCACTGTATATGCTTCAAAAACATATGAGTCACAGGAATTCCACTTCATACAAGACAGAAAAAAGCAGTAACCGTATGTGTTGTAGGTCTATTAATAGTGAGGAATGCTTTGTATTTTCGTAAGACTATAATACATTTCAGTTTTGGGGGTTTGTAGGGATTCACTGATCTTCTTTTCAAGTTGGCTTTCATCATAGACTGATATCAATTGAAAGGAACATTGGAAACCTGGGAGCGTTAGACAGTTGTTTAGTCACAGTATAGGATTCCTCAACAGTGCACACCCATGACCCCGCCCCACCGGGGATCGAACCCACCACATTCAGCTTCCATAGCCAACACGTAACATATTTCCAACTTTTGTCAGTTCACGACATAGCGTGACCATCACCGAATGTTATCGTTGAGTATTTGTCCTCATTGGCACCAGGCTCCTCCACTGATCATAACTGACATCAGTTGTTATTGTTTCCATTCTCAGGAAAATAATGAAATCAGTTAAGATATACATTTGTAAAAAAGTGTTGTAATATCTCTGTAGTTTATCATACTGATTCTATTCTAATTCTAAAGACAATCAGATGATTTAGCTATACGGTCTCTGCTAGACTCAGTTTTAGATGATTTCTCCTGGAAAAAGTAGAAAATGTTCTTTTGGAATTTTACTATCATCTCACATGGATGATACATTTTTAATTTACTTCCCTTCAATCACCAAAGCTTTTGACCGACTACCCTCATAGCTTAATTGGTAGAGCATCGGGTCGGAAACCTGGGTGATCTCTGATTCGAATCCAACTGTGATCCAAATTTCTATTTCCCCTCCGATCATCACCCACTTTAAATCTCAGATCGTCAAAATGATTATCTATTTACTATTTTGTTTAACTACGAGTTATTACGATAAAGTGTTAATGTAATATTACTGAAGCTAAGAATGATTTTAAAGGCCCATCGAACAACTGCTGAACACACCAATCAGGTTTTGGTATTAGGAGAAAGCAAGCCCATGAAATCATTGATTGTCAATCAAAGGTTCATAAAGTAACCGAAAATGTTATTGAGAAACACTGGATGAGTTAGTTGATAGTATCACTGTATATATTTTAAAATCAAATACTTTCATTACTTTGTATTGACTATTCACTCGAAAGTGATCAACTTCATGTTAATACATTGAATATTCCCATTTAGACATTTCGGTAAAAGACTGATTGACCAAGTGAAGAAATGCATATTCCTTTTCAATTAGGTCTTCATGTTGGGCTCTACACTAATATAATATAGGAGGTTTACCATTTAATCAAATTACCAATCATGTGGTGGTGTTTCGGAAAATATGAATATTGATAGAAACAAGAGGAAGGGGAAGAGGTGTACAAAGTAATCCTAGAAGTTATACCATATTGACAGTCACGGTAATGAAATTGGTCGAAGAAACTTGTTTTGGATACGAACGTTAGATTTGTTCGTAAAGGTGGATTGCAATCGCCTCTACTATGTTAAGTAACCGAGTGCGTAATCCATGAGGTAAATGAATTGGAATCGGATGGATGATTTTGAAGGCTTTTCCAGTAACCACTTGATATCCTGTGTCAACCAGGTGTGCAAGTATGGAGCTCTTTATAGTTCTAATTTGTCCCTTGTTTTACCGTGATGGGTGGTGCTCAGAAATTCGACTATGGATTTGCCTCATTATACGCCCATTGTAGCTCGCTCCACAGGAGCAGTTGAATTGATGTATGCACATAGAAGTGACAGAATCAAGCAGTTTGTCTTTATATATCATATTTTTTTTTTCTCTGTATAAGATGATTACATCTATTTTTGTCTTATGAAATTTTAGATTATAAATCCACAAATGTCGACTGTAAAATTGATGCCAATGAAAGCTGAAATTATTCTCAAAAAAGTTGATCCTATATCTTGGTCTAAACTTGAATATAAATTATTGAATGAAACGGACGAGGAGACAGAGAATATCGGTGATAATGAAAATTAAATGTTCTTAATTATGGTGTTTATTTCATCTTTTTTTTCATTTTATTGAAGTCGATTTCCCTGAAAATCCACACACACACACATACACTAGTTGTCTTCTAATCTCCTTTATACAATAATTGATGATGATGATGATGATAATCCTGACAACTAGGTGTGTTCATTCTATGCTGTTATAATGCTATACAAATAAACAGTAGCATTTTTTTCTATGACAAAAGATTTCCCCTTCTCTCTGATTTATATCCCTATGCGACTTGGATTGTGGTAATACATTCAATTCAGTTGAGAGGCTTATTCGTGGATTTATTGATTGACTTCAGGTTAGTATACATCATGAATGACTGGTTGATGACGTCAGCTGGTAAATATTGGAAGTATGAGAGCACTGGACAGTTGTTTCACCCCCAGCATACGACTGGTTAGTAGTGTGTACACATCATCCTGTCTAAGATCGAACCCACGTCCTGTGGCTAGCACCTTACCATTGAACCACTGTGTCGCAATCCAATGGTCCATATTTCCTACGTCTATCACTTCATGATATATCGCCACCTCCATGTTCTCATGTGTTCAATTCGATTAACCCAATCGGTTAAAACTTCTCATTCTATCTTTGAGAAACATCTCTCGTGACTAGTCACTAGTGAACACTAGGTTAACTCAATCTTGAAGTTTACGGAGATATGTATTCATCATGGACTGATATCACTCTGAGAAATGTTTATTGGTAACCTGGGAGCACTGGATGACCCGTTTCGTCGCAGTACAGGACTCGTCAGCAATGCGTACTCACCACTCCACTAGAAATAGAACTTCAATGTCTATGGGGGATCATGTGTGTGTGCGTTGCTGCGGGGTCCCATACTGAAACAAAACAGCTATTCAGTGCTCCTAGATTTCAAGTGTTTCGCTAACAGCTACTTGCTCGCAGGCAAGTTGTGTTTGACTCATAAGTTTCGAGCTTGTTGGCACTTTGTCAATTGATGACTCTCACCTACCATAGGATTAGTTGTATCATTTGTTATGTATAATGAGAGGTGAAACTGATTGTCTACTGCTGTATAACACTATAATGATGAATGTTTATATATTCCGTCGGATTTCGATAGCGTAATTAGAAGATTTGTGAGAGGCATGAGGATATGGTTTATCTACTAAATAGACTTAACGCCGTACAAACACATATCAGCCTGATATGTGAGAAAGAGAATAGTAATTAACTGCCATTCCTAGATATACTTCTAAGTCGACGAGAAGATGGTTCACTAAGATGGTCAGTTTACAGAAAGTCTACATGGACAGGACAATACCTGAATTTTCACAGTTTTTGTCCAATCCAATACAAGTGAGATCCAGTGAAATGCCTGTTTAATAGGATCTATCATATCAGTACACCAAATGCGATGGATGAAGACATCAAATTACTGACCGAAGCACTTACGGAAAATGAATATCCGCTGAAGTTTATAAACTATTGTACAGGCCAAGTAGCACCAAAGCCAACTCTATACACGGTCCTTAAGGAAAATCTCCATATCACTCTACCAGACAGAGGGGAGTTGAATAGTATCATTTTGAGACGTAGGCTGACTTCAGCCATTAAGAAAATATATTACGCCGGGGACTTTATCATTATGGAAAAAAACAGAACACATGCTTCACCAAAAACCTAAACATCCCACCAATGATTATGTCACATCCTATTGTGTTTACCAATTTACATGTGTGTGTGTGTGTCTGTGTGTGTGGTCACACATACATAAGGGAGGAGTAATCGAGTTATGCAGTTAAGGGTAGGGAGAGGAGAATATGTTCCTAAATGGCTTCAAAAACAAATGGAGTGTGAAACAGTGATGAGCACTGATGGAGGAGACGACCCTCTTCATGTATAGTTAAACATATCATAGAAATAGGTCACAAAGTTAATGTTCAAACACCTTTCAAAGTTTTATGTAGAAACAGTGAGTCAGGGACGTCTACTGAGATTTGTGGAATCCATAGGCGTACATAAATTGAAACGGTTGACGTTTATTGCACGGGCACTTCTCCCCCCTAATTTATTTAGGGTAGAAGGAAAAAAAATAGAGTGAAAAATGATTGGCTGGTTCCTCTATTTAGAAGTCAAAATGTTTGTGCTGCCAAGGTACTTTCCTATTGGACAAGGACACTTACTTGTAGGAATCTGATTAGTTGATCTTAGATAAGCTATCTCTATTTAAATTGGCTTATAAAACCATTACTTGTCAGATAAATTCTGTTTTAAGAAATTAATCGCCGTCAAGTTATGTTTCAATCCCAAATGAATTTAAAGTTTGTGGAGAATTTAATTCTGTGGCGACAATGTTGTGTAATATTTCCGGGAGCCTGTTTCAAAATGAATTTAGTGTAATTGTTGTTATGATAATTGTAATTTTCTGTTGTTATACAAGGCTGAATTGCTTGACCTCTATTGATATATGGGCTACCTTGTTACTACTGCTGATTCATGATGTAACGTTGATGTCGGTGACTAACAGAGGGACTCCAGGACTGGTGTTTTGTTCTACTTGTTACTTGGATTAGTTAAAGGGGCCCTATTTGTTTATGCAATGGGTATTGAGTTTGATCCCCTATGGTAACCATATCACTGACTGGGGTCCTGGTACATCCAGCTGACGAGTCCCCAGTAGGACGAAATGCCCATCCCGGTAGTCGTCGAGATCAGTATGTATTTAGTGTAATTTAATGCTGTAAATAAGGTTTGCAGATGAATCTACATCTTGAATGTATTAATCGAAAGTTTGCACATAGTGATAAATTTTCTTACTTTGGTATTCATTGGAACAGAATTACTGCCCGTGATCACACCAACAGTTGGGATATTTTCTCAATAGTATACTGAAATGAAGGCTTACCATTGTTTGTTAACTTTTCATTTGAAATGTACTTATAATATGTACTATCCTATTCGGCAATATACAATCTTTACATCGATATATTTAAATCCTTGTAGGAATACACTACTACATTGTATAAGGTGCCTTTTTATGTGTGTAATCTCGGCGTAGTATATTAGTACAAATAACAAAGTAAACAACATATTTTGTATTAATGCTCAACCTATCTAGGCAGCACTGTTTCAACTACAGGCGGGACGGACGAGGATGTCAAAGTGAGAATCGGAAAAGCAAGACAGGCGTTCATTAGCCTGAAACCAGTGTGGAGATCTTCTGCACTCAGCATATGGAACAAGATCTGGATTTTCAACACCAACTTCAGTCAAGTCAGTGCTTCTGTATGGTTCAGAGACTTGGCGCGTTACGAAAGGGATTTCCAATAAACTACAGACATTCATCAACAACTGCCACCTACGCTGGCTCGTTACTGAAGATCAGATGGATTGCCAGAAAGAATAAGCAACAAGGAGCTCTGGGAACAAACCAACCAAGAACCTATCGCTGAACAAATCTGCACTGGAAGGAAGTGTAGATGAATTGGGCATACACTGAGAAAGCCGACTGGGGACATCACGCGTCAGGCCAGTTGCTCGAGTGGAATCCCCATGGGAAGCGATGAGTTGGGTGTCCCAACTGAGGGTGACATGGAGAAGGTCGTGCGAGGAGGAAATGAGAGCTTGTGGGCTGTCGTGGAGCCAGGTTTTAAAAGATTTCAGAAAACAATGTTCACTTGAGACGTGCTACTGAAGCCCTATGTTCCACTAGGAACCCAAGGAACTAATAATAATCCTCAACGTTTCGATCTTGCCAGGAAGATCCTTTTCAAGAGTATGAATCTGACATTGGCAGGGATTACACAACTAAAAATACACCTTCGTTATACAATGAATCATACTAACTTGGTGCCCAAGTTTTTTCAAACCATCCAGTCCATTGTTGGTCAGGATACCTTCAATACACTGCTAGGTGTAATTTTGAGGATAATCTTGGTGAGAAACTGATCATTGTGCCTTGGTAGCTCTGACCAACATTAAGGTGGTTTTCGAAAACAAGTACTATGTGAGTAATCATGTTCATATAGGCCAACCTTACAAAGTATCTCCGTGTTTGCCTAGAAATTGCTACCATCTACTCTGTCTGCACTAAGAAACTTTTTATTGAGAGTCTGTTTGCTGTTCAAGTTGAAGTATGAGAGAGGGGAAACTATTTCATTTCAGTTGTGATTAAGACATAGCATTTCTTTAATTTCCTATGCTTCCAAGGAGTGGTACTGAATCGGAGTTCTTGTTATTATCGAATAACTGCCGTAAATTGGCTTATAAAAACTATGTGAGTATTTCATATATTAGTATAAGGGTTTTTATATGATACCGTCGTTGATTGGACCGAATTGATCGGTCTCTATTAGCATATGGGCTCCTGTGCGGATGCCTCGATATTGCCAGCAATCTGATTATGTTAATGATGGATCGTGGCTAGTAGTGGAATCCAGGATGTGCATTTCCTCTTATTTGGGACTCACAGGTGGATGGAGTTGCCTACCAGTGAGTGATATCCCGCCGGGACTCGGACCTATCAATTCGGCCCAGTCAACGACGGTGTAATACAAGCAATGATACTAAAACTACACCCGTTGCACAAGAAGTGGTTCGGTGGTGTAGTGGGTAACACTGGCGTTTGAAGCGATCGGTCTGGAGTCCAAATCCCGGTTGGAACAACATCACTCACTGGTAGGCAACTCCATCCACCTGTGAGTCCCAAATAGGAGGAAATGCACATCCTGGATTCCACTGCTAGCCACGATCCATCATTAACATAATTAGATTGCTGGCAATATCGAGGCATCCGCACAGGAGCCCATATGCTAATAGAGACCGATCAATTCGGTCCAATCAACGACGGTATCATATAAAAACCCTTATACTAATATATGAAATACTCACATAGTTTTTATAAGCCAATTTACGGCAGTTATTCGATAACAACAAGAACTCCGATTCAATCACC